CAACAATGCATAAGATTCTAATAAGATTACTGACATTTAGAAATGGGAAGAAAGGAGCTAAAGGTGTAGGGAAGGTGGGATGGGTAGGGGAAGAGTAAAAAGGGAAAAGAAAAAAATGTGAGAGAATGAAAAGATGAAAATAAAGTGTTTGTAGATGGGGAGGGGAGGAGGGGGTGAAGGGAGGGCAGAGGTAAGGGGAAAAAATGAGAATCAAGACTTGTCATGTAGAGGTACAAGATCCCAACAATGAATGCTACTGTACTGTATCCCTAAAATGTACCAATAAACTCAATTAAAGCTGAAAAAAAAAAAAGAAACAGAAACAAAGGATGGACCTAAAGCCATGTAAGGAGACCAAATCAATAATAAAAAAAGAAAACAGAACAAAAAAACCCTCATAACAAATAGAAGTCCATGAGCAGAGAGCTTCACTGGAGAGGTCTACCCAACATTTAAGAAATTATCAACAATTTTTCTCATACTCTTTCAAAACAAGAAATGAAGAGGCTATTTCAAACTCAATCTGTGAGGCCAACATTACTCTAGTATCAAAACTAGACAAAGACACAACAAAAAATTCCAAACATCCCTGATGAATACTGATGCAAAAAGCCTAAACAAAACACTAGGAAGACCCTTTCCTGTTCATGTGTTCAGATGGAATCTTTTCTCACTCCCTGCCTGTCAAACACAATTTCCTATAGGAAACTGTACCCCTGGTTTCCTCTGGAGATAGGTCTCCCCACTTGGGCCCAGGCCCATGGCTCACAGAGAATGTTCAGTGGAAGTTGGTAAAGGACCATCCATCCCTCGTACAGGACTGTGGCACTATTTATCCAGGGCTTGCTTCTCTTCACGTCCTGCCCTTACTGGACACACACAATTATTTTCACCTTCTTTCCAAATCCATTTTAGCCTGTGTAATCTCACAAACATCAGAAGACATTTTTTCAAGGGAGAGATACAGAAAAGGAAACTTGCTATAGTTATCAAAGTGATATATAAATCTTGTAGTAAAATAAGCCTATAATAACATCTGCTATACACTTTGTGTTGATCACTTAACCTAACAAATCATCTTTTCTTTTTAAGCTAAATTTTTTTCTTCTGATAATTTTAATATTATTACTATTTTTCTCAGTCTCTTTATCTGCTCTGAGGAGTAGGCAGAACAGCGGGCAGCAGGTGAGGAAGGCAGCTTTCTTTGAGTCCCATGCTGGTCAGTCATCATCTGGCAGCTGGATTTTGCTAGGGTTGAAGCAGTTGGACTCCATGATGGGGTGGCCTTTGGCCTCTCGGTATTTCACAAGCCTCTTGGCTTCTCAGTGGGCCAACTCGTGCATCTTGTAGTCAGTCAGATGAGCCACAATGGTGGTGCTAAAGATGAGGACAATGGAGAAACCAAAGAAGAAAACACGTTTCAGTGGTCAACGACAGGATCCTTGTCGAAACCATGAGAATCTCAGTTCTTCTCATACAAGTTTTCTTCCTCCGGTTCTGGGTCCCCTTGCCATTGTGAGGTAGGTTCTGGTGCTTGCTCTCCAGCACAGTGGACAGAGTGACTACAGCTTTGGAGGATTCCAGCGAATGCAGGCACCTGGGAGCCCATGCGTTACTGCTGCTACCGAAAGGCGATGAGTACACAACCTCAACAGCCATCACGAATTATTCCCAGGCTGAATTTTGTTTTACAAGTGGGCTTATACACCTTATCATTCTTATTATGGTTTGCTTACAATGTGTAATGTGATATAAAAGTAATACCTTATCATTTTATGCTAATTTTACTGCAAAACTTCTAATTCTGAGAGCCATGCTCTTCTCCCTCACTGGAGTATTTAAAACATAAAATCCATGCTGCCCCATTTACCTCCAAGTCTTGCTCTGATGGAAATGTCTGGTACTTTCCTGGAATTCCATCTCCTGTCCTGTTGCAGTTCTTGTGCCAGTATCGTTTGCCTTTTGATTGTTGACTGAAATCCTGTGTCGGGTCTAGGAACTCGGTGCTGAGGTTTCACATCACTGAAATCCACCAGGTTTGGTATAGCTCTGCCAGTGCCAGGTTTCAAGTCAGCATCACCACCGGGACTCACAAACCTCGCACAGGGGTCTTCTAAGGGGACATCATCCCGGAGTGGAAATAATGCATAATTTGGGCCAAATGGTGGTGGATATGGGTAATGCAAATGGTAGTCTGGCAGTACTGAAGGGGGATAAGGGTGAAATTTAAGAAAAGCAGGGTTGCCTTTCTTTTCAAATCTGCCATAGTTATGTCTGTCCTCCAACCCTTTCACAAAAGGCATGTTCATTTTCCTTAACAGATCACAGTAGTGTGGGTAATCTATATTCTCAACAGTCTTTTTTCTTGAAAAGATAAACTTCTCAGGGATACTTATCTTTCCGGACTTGTACTGGACTTCCGTATCCATGGCCTTTCTCTTTGTAATTTTTGAGGCTGGTAGATTATGTTGTTCTGATGAACCTTTTCTCTTGAACTGTAAAAACGCTTGTAGTTCTAATAATTGAAGATGACAGCTAAAGTAGCATAAAATTATTGATTCAGCTCTCTAAATATTGGTAGAGTAGTATTTTTTAAAGTGAAGTTTCTTTTTTTTTCCCCCTTCTCTGCACCAAAGGAAGCACAGGGCAGTAACAGAATAGAAAAGAAAAAGCAGAATTCTTGTTGCTTGGCAACAGCTAGAACTGTAATGCACAGAACTAAATATGCACATCATAATGCAATTCTTAGAAAAAACAAAAACTAGTCTTGACAGCAATTCCAAGGTACTTTTTATCTTATTTTATATTTTTTCATGTCATTATCTTATAGGTAAAGAAGTACTCAGTTAAGCAGTATTAAGCAGTTAATCTAATGACAGTATATTTTAAACAACAAAAAAGTGATTATAATGAAGTATTTAGCTGATATAGAACACCTCTTATCTAAATGTTACATTTAAGTGCACTGCAAAAAAGAAACATGTATTACACTAAAATTAAGTTGATATATCTAATTTTTAAGGAAAGAAATTGATAAATTATAGTCCAAGGGAAGGCTCATTTGCATGTTCTAAATTATTCCTCCTTAAATGCTACTATGATGTCCAGAATAAGATCCATGAATATTTTAAAATTAATTCGGGAAACTACAAGAAGTTGTCAATTACTAGCCCACAATAAAAGATCTCATCTAAAGTGAGTGATGTATCAGCTCACTTAATATTTTCAAACAGACAATTTGATCTTGCCTAAAAATAGCTACAAAAAACATTCTATATATTATGTGGGTATAAAAGCTCACATTTTCCTTAATGAAGCAAATGTGGAAATCATGCAAAATTCTAGAATGGCCAGGTACATATAAGTCATAAATCAAGCCAACGATAATACAGTAAGCATTTAAGATGTGGTGAGAGGGGCTGGGGATTTAGCTCAGTAGTTCTGCAGCCTGCCTCACAAGTGCGAGGACCCAAGCTCAATCCTTGGTACCAAAAATAAATAAATAAATAAATAAATAAATAAATAAATAAATAAATAAATAAATAAATAGATGTGGTGAGATGATAATGTCTATGTCCCGTCTAAAAATCATTAAAATTTAGAAATGTACTACTAACACCAGGGAAGGGTGTGATGGATGGTGGCTGCCTGTTTGAAGTCCCTGATGAGACAGGATATCCAAAGCATCCAAAATACATCCAGTGAGTTTCTAAGCCCACTCATAATCACTCATTTCATACAGAAGGTGACAACAGATTTCTTCTTAGGCACTGCTCAAACCTCCATGTTTAATTTTCACCCACTCTATATGATTTACGTCTATCATAGCTATTATCATTAAGCACACCCTTCCAGAAGATGAAAAGGAGAGGGGCATTACTCTTTTCTTCCAATTTTTCTATAACACTTTCTCCCTATAAATGGTGTCTTTGGCTCTTAGGCACTTTTGTATGTTTTTTCTTGTTTCTGAATCTGGGTGATGAAAGATGATTTCACAGGATGATTAATGCATGATATCAATTTTATCTATGGTCCGGTCCTTCATTCTTCCACTGAGTTTTTCCTTGGGACTAAAGGCATTGCTTTAATTGCCACAAGATGTACGTTGCAATTGTCTTCCAGGAAGCACCACACATTAGGAACACACTAGTTACTGATGTTTCCAGATTCAAGCAAACTCTAAGGACTGTCTGTGTACAGACTCATAAATTCTATTTGTTGTTTAGACTTTGACTCCCAAAGTCTGAGAATACACAGCCAGTTTATATATAAAGGGTCTTCCAGACTGGACGTGGTGGTACATGCTTGTAATCACAACACTCTGCGAGGGTGAGGAATGAAGATAACAAGTTCAAACCCAGCCCTGAAACTTAAGTGATTTAGCAAGAATTTAACAACAGAGGGTGGGTGGCACTAAAGATATAACTCTTGGTTTAATTCCCTGTAAAAAGGAAAAGAATCTCCCTTCAGTCCACAAATGTCACTCAAAAGTAAAGGCACAGGCTTTGAGGTTCAGGGTTCTCTTGGCTGCAAAGTCTTCCTTAAATCGCTTGTACTCTACAGCACCCCTCCACCCCCGCCGGAGCAACGAGGCTGGTCTGAAATCACACGGGATGCTCAGTGCCAGATATGACAGTCCCTGCCTCCCCGGCGTCGGGAGTCTGGTCCACGCGCCAGCGACCTTACAGCCTAGTTCCCAGCGGAAGTGCCAACGCGTGCAGCGGTATTGGCTGCGCGTGCATCCGGGCCATTCTTCCGGTCGGCCGCCCTCTAACTTCCGGCGGCGGGTGGGCGCGCGCCGCGCGCTTAACTACCTTCTTTTCCGAGGGTCGGCAGGCGGCTGCGGCGTGGGATGGAGACCTCGGCCCCTGGCCGGGCATGGCATTCCTCTTCTCCGCCTTTCTGGTGCAGGCGCCCTCCTCAGGTGAGGGTCGCCGCTGCTCAGCCTGAGAACAACTGTTTCCGGTGTCAAGGGCTTCGGGTTCCTGCTAGGAATCACTATGACCTCTAAGGCCCAGCAAGCAGGGCGGGAAGATCAGCAGTGCACAGAGAGAGCAGATCACTCAACCCAGATGGCGTTTTAGAGTCAACGTGCTTAATAAACTTTCTAATTAAATGCTTGGGCTGTTGGTCGGCTCTGTATTTCAGTGGATTCTCTAAGGATGTATTGAGTATTTCGCAATTAGTAGGCTTCCCGCTGCTTTTAATATCTCCGGTAGTGGAGCTCCATCTATTGGTTTTCGATGTAAACTACAGGATCTGTTTGGAGTTTAAATTTTGACAGCTGAAGAACTCAATTATTTATGATAGGAAAATATCTGAAAAAGAAGAGAGAGTTCAGGCCAGTTGTTTAACAAAAATGGCTTTTTCTGCTTTATCACTCCTCCAAGAATATAAATGTAGAAGGAATGTGGCAGTAACCATGGGATTGGGTGGAGAAAAGAAAGAAAGAAAAGGAATGGATGCAGATTAACAAATGTGCCAAAGCCCAGGCATCCAAAATGCAAAGATTGTTCCAGAAGAATAGCCAGTATTTAGTTGTCCTGTTAAAGAAGGATGCTTGGGGATATGGTTCATGGTCTTATACCTAAGTGTGAAAGAGTATGTTTTTGTTTTGAAATCTTACCTGGCTTTCTTTTGATGTATTAACAAGAATAGACCTCTGAGGTTATGAGAAGTAGGTAAGCAGTCAATAGGTTAACGTGGATACGTAACTATAATAGAAAAGGCCTGGTATTTATATGGTACCTTTTGGTTCATACAATATTCCACTCAGTTCCTACAATAATTCTATAAGGCTGGAATTTTTTTCCGTCTGATTTTGCAAATAAATAAGCTGCAGCTGTTTAAAGTGATTTTTCCTAAAATCAGTTGTGGCAGAATTTGGATTTAAACTCAGGTTATCTGGCTTCTAATATTATACCCTTTCCTTTGCATTTCTGTTACAGTTATTTAGTTACAATGCCTTATAGAATTGCATTTTTACATAGCCTCTTTCAATTTTTCTATTTTTCCTGTTATGCCTATCACATCTGCTCACTTGATGAATGAAGACTACCAGGATATATTTCAGAATTACTATTTAATAGTTGTTAGACACAAGGTACAGTACTTGATGTTAGCTCTTGTAAATTCACAAACATCCATGCTTCCATCAGTGGAATTTATAACCTATTGAGGAAATTATGTATGTGCATAAATATATGTTCCTAAGTATAATGAGTATGTTATAAGGGGGTGTGCTAGTGACATGCCATGTCAGATGAAAAATATGGATAGACACGAGGTTTGAAGGGGGAGCATTTGTGATTTTAGTCTTGAAAAGCAAGGGTCTTGGATTTAAAAGTGTTCTATGTTGCTGTAAAAAAGCATCAGGTGAGCTATATTAGCAGGTAGATTAGATTCATTAGGATATATGAAGGAGAGTACAGTTAGAAACCCAAAATCAGATGTCAGAGAAGATTGGTTTATGGCTTTTCCCTTGAAGAAGATTAAATATACTATTTTTAACATTCTGGAATAAGTAATGAGGAAAACTGTTGGTCATTTATTTTCTACAGTTGGATATTTAGTTCGATTGCCAAGAAGTTTTCGCTTGACTCAGGATGCAGTGAAAATAGTGGGGTCATCGCATTTTCCAGGTACTCATAAATAGATTTCCCGTAATTTAAAGGAAGTTACTAGCAGTCATTTAATTTTTAACAATCTTGTCCAAAAGACTAATGTCCCTCAGTTAATCTAGTCCCATAAGGTCCTTTTCCTTCTGCAGAAGTGAACTAAAATTGTTTATATATTTAGATTCATTAAATTCTAATTCTGTATGCTGTAACTGCTTAAGTGCAAAAATAATTATTTCTAAAAGTTAGCTATAATTGCTATTTCTAGTGGTTTTGCTTGTATAATATTAGCTATACCGTTAAATGTGGGCAGTTTAATTATGTTAAAACATTTTTCAAATGAGATCAACATATCATAAAGCTTTTGGATTTATAAGATTTTATAATAGTCATAAGTTGTAACTGAAACTTTTTTTTGCATTTATTGAGATAAAATCATTTACTAACAATTTTTTCCTTTACAGTGTAAAATTAAGTTGTTTTTCTTGTGTTCACAAGTTTGGAAAACCATCACCATCACCTGATTTCATATTTTCATCACCCTCAAAAGAAACACTGTACTCACTGATGAATACTTCTGCAGCCCATGGAGATCATTAATCTCTCTTCTCTTTTGTTTACTTTTACTTATTTTGGAAATAAGTGAAATTATGTATTGTGTGGCCTTTTGAATATGGGTCTTTTCATATAGTTTAATGTTTCTGAGCTTCATCCACGCCATAAAATATAAAGGCACTTCGTTTCTATTTTTTGCTGAATAATCTTATGTTGTATGTAAATGTATGCTTTGAATTCTCTTGGTTATAAAGTAGAATTACTGGGTAATGTGTTAATTCTCGCTAGTAGACTTTTATCATGTGAACAATTTTCAAATATTTTCTCCTATTCTGAGGATTGTTGTTTTGGCTTTCTTAATCTGACTTTTGAAATACACATTTTGAACTTTGATTAAGTCTAATTTCTATTTTTTCTGTTATATCAGGTGCTACATCTAAGACATTATTCCCTAATAAATGCTCACAAAGTTCTGTTCCTTTGTTTTCTCGTGAATGTGTTTATGCAATGTTTGATTCAGGTGCTCTGATCCATTTTGCTAATTTTATCATAATGCATGATAGAGATCAAACTCACTTTTTAGTATATGATTACCCAAATTTTTTAGCACTGTCTGTTGAAGAGACTGTTTTACATTTTATTGCATTGTTTTGACAAGTTACTAAAACAATTAACCACAGTTGTGTGGGTTTATTATAGGGTTTGCATTTTATTCTGTTCCTCTCTATGTCTATCCTGATGCTAGTACCTTGCTGTCTTGATTTTTCTTGCTTTATAATAAGTTTTGAAATCATTAAACATAAGTACTTCAAATTTGATCTTTTAGATTCTTCTGGCTACTGTTAGTCCCTTAAAATTTCATATTCATTCTATAATAAAACTGTCAGTTTTTGCAAAAATATCTACAGGGATTTAATAGGCTTTGAATTTTTAGTTTAATTTTTGGTAATTTAACAATCTTAATTCTTCCAATCCATGAATGTGAAATTTATTTCCATTTATATAAATCTACCTTAATTTCCCTTCATGATAATTTTTACTTTGTAATGTAAAAGTTTTATGTTTCTTTGTGAAATTTAATTGTAAATATTTTGTTATTTTTGATTCTAAGTAGAAGGATTTTACCCAGTTTTAGGATTGTTCATTGCCAGTTTATGGTAATACAATTGATGTTTTCATATCGATGTCAAAACAACCTGCTACTTTCCTTAATTCATTTATTACTTCTGTTTTGGGGTGTGGACTCCTTATTATAGAAGATTATGACCTGTGCAAATAGAGGTGGTTATATTTCTTCTGTTCAATTGTTTTTTTCTTACCAACTGCTTCAGCTAGAAACTACAGTTCAATACTTATGAAAAAGAATATTTCTTGTTCTCAGTCTTAAGGGAAGGGAAATGTTTAAGCTTTTACCATTAAGTATATTATTAACTTTGAGTCTTTGTAGATATTAAGGTATGCCTAATTAGTTTTGAGGGAGTTCCTTTTGTTCATAGTTTGTTGAATGATTTTATTGTGAAAGGATGTTGGATTTTATCACAAGCTTTTTCTACATCTATAGAGATGATATATTTTTATCTCTTTTTGATTTATATGATTTATTTGTATTTGAACCTAGCCTTACATTCCTGGGATAAATCTCAGTTGACTGTGATGTGTGCTTTTTGATGGTACTGGAATTGGTTTCTAGTGTTTAGAGAATTTTCATATGTATATTAATGAGTGAAAGTCTATAGTTCTCTTTGGATTTCTTTGATTTTGGTTTTAGGGTAAGTTGGGATATTTTCCCTTTTTTTTTCTTTTTTATTGAGGATATTGGTACAATCTAGGTATACAAATACAGTTACATTCATCATTGGGATTTTGTACCTTTACATAATAGGTCTTGATTCTCATTTTTCCCCTTGTCCCTGCCCTCCCTTCACCCCCTCTTCCCCTCCCCATTTACAAATACTTTATTTCCATTTTTTCAGTTTCTCATATTTTTTTCCTCTCCTTTATTACCTTTCCCCCACCCTTCCCACTTTCCTTACACCTTTAGCCCTTTACTTCCTATTTCACATTATTAATTGTCTCATTAGGATCCTGTGTACTATTATAGTTTTTCACACCAAAGAAACTATTCGGTATTTCAGTTAAAGAAATCTCTGTATGAACATTAAAAATAGGGAATCCTAAAATAAAACTAAAAAGGAAAGTAAAAGAGAAAAGGCAATGATGTAACATCAAAATAATCCTTAATTCTGGAGATGAAAATGGTCCCTGAACATATTTAAATTGCTTCTCGCTCTTATAGTCTTATCTTATTCTTTTTTTCATTATTTAGAGAATACTTTATTAGTTTCTGTAATCAAACCCACGTAGATATGACCTTACATATTTAGTACGATGTGTTACCCCTGTACACATGGAAAAAAAATAAACTAAAATAAATTAACATTTCTAGACCAATATGCTTGTCCATTTCTGTACAATGCCAAGTCAACACAGTAAATTGGGATGACTTTTTCCAAAGTTGGCAGCACCATTAAAGTTTCCCAAAATTCAATTTATATATATGTGTGTGTGTGTGTGTGTATATATATATATATAGATATATATATATATATAGACTAATAATAGTATGTTATGCATCGATAGCAGCAACAGCTTTTCCAGGTTCTGCAGTCATCTGAACAAAATTATAGACATTCAGCACATTCCATTAAAAAAAAAAAAAAAAACAAAGAAAAGAATAATATCCAGACAACAGCAAAGTTCTGTTGCTGTTGTGGTACCTGGCACCATTTTTTCTATTAGCCTCTTAATCATCATCTGGAAAGAGAACATTCTAGAGTAATATCATTAAATGTAGCTCTGATAAAGCACGGTCCCTACTATATATCATAAAGCAGGTACTAGACATTTTACATTCATAGAGGTATGATAACAGTACTGTCGTACATCAATAATACTAGATTCAATTTTGGTTTGAAATTTACTTTGTCTGCAAATAAGATTGCTACCCCTGTTTTTTTCTGGGCTCCTGTCACATGGAGAATTGTTTTCTATCTTTTCACTTTCAGTCTATGGGCTTCTTTTTGCACTAGGTGTGTTTCTTGTATACAACATATTGTTGGATTTTGCTTCTTATTCCGTTTTACCAGTCTATTTCTCTTGATTGGTGAGTTGAGGCCATTGACATTGCTGGTTATAACTGATATATACTGACTTATTATTGACATGTTATTGGCCTTTTGTTGACTCTTTTTACTTTTTCACCTTCTCCTTTTAGCTTCTTGCCTTGCCTATTTGAGTTGCTGTGTTGGGCCTCATGGTGTTGTTGCCTTTATTGTCTTTTTCTAGGATCTTGATTAGAATTGCTTGTAGTGCTGGTTTGGTATTCATGTAGTTTCTCAGGTGTTCTTTGTCGTGGAAGTGTCTTATTTCCCCATCCATTTTGAAAGAGAGTTTTGCAGGATACATCAGTCTAGGTTGGAGGTTGTTCTCTTTTAGTACTTGAAATATCTCATTCCAGGCTCTCCTTGCCCCAAGGGTTTGTGTTGAAAAGTCTGCTGTGATTCTGATGGGCTTTCCTTTGTATGTGATTTGTTTCTTTTCTCTTACTGCTTGTAGTATTTTGTTCTTCTGTTGGGTTTCTGGGATCTTGATTATTATATGTCTAGGTGTAGATTTTTTTTGATTGTAGCTAGTTGGGGTCCTATATGCCTCAGTTATCTGAATGTCAAATTCTTCCCCTCTGTTTGGGAAGTTTTCTGTCATTAATTCTGCAAACAGCTTTTTTAAGTCATTTGTATTTTCTCCTGCTACTTCATGTATTCCTATCAGTCTTATGTTATTCTTCTTTGCATCATCTAGGAGTTGTTGGATCGATTTCTCATGATCTCTTACTGTTTTTAAGAGACCTCTCTTTTCATGGTCACTGACTGCAATCTTATCTTCTATATCTGAGAGCCTATCTTCGCATTCTTTTATTCTGTTGCGTACACTTTCAATAGAGTGTTTAATCTCCTGGATATCTGTTTGAATCTGTTTTATGGATTCCATTTCTTTCCTATGTTGGGCGTTTATTTTTTCCATTTCTTTCTTATGCTGGGCCTTCATGGCTTCTATCATGGTCCTGAGCTCATCTATTTTTTTGTCAGTTTCTGCTCTAGAGTCTCGAATCACGACTTCCATTTTGCTCACTATCTCTATGGTTATCTGGGAAATTATTTCTGTTTTGAATTTTTCTAGAGCCTGATTGATCTGTTTTGTTACTTCCTGTGCTTTGAGTTCAGGGTGTCCTGGTGGTTCACTATCGGCCTTTTCATCCTCATTTGCCCTACTGTTTGCCATTGGTGAACTGGAAGTCTGTCCTTGTGTCTTGCTTAAGTGTTTTCTCATTTTAATTTTTGTTGTCGGACTGTCCTTGGTTTAATCTCTGGATTATCACCCAAATCTTCCTGATATAGTTGCACCCTAGCTTCTGTGTCTCTAACGACCCACAGACATTCTCATCTTCATAACATCAGAGAAAACAGCTCATCAAATCAACGGCAATGCTTTACCCCAACTGATACAATCAGCAACACATTAAGATCAAGCACAACTTGGACACTGACCACCTGTGGTAGTCACTAGTCTATCACCCTTAAATCATTTGAATTAAATTGAAATCAAGAAGCAGTCCAGAACATGTCTGCAGTGAACAAAATTTTAATATAGTGTATTTACCATTTAATGGCTCAGACAGAGCGAGGATGCAAGACCCCTGATCTCAGTTAGCTGATTGCTGAACCCCCTAATGCTGACTGACCTCAGGCTGCAAGGCACCCAGATTGAGTTCCCCATCCTTCTGAATGGTTGAACTCCACAACGTTCTATTACAGGTTTTCCCTGCCCTTTCTTTAAAGATGTTCAAAGTTGGGAACTCAGAAAAATACCCTTTATGACCACCTCTGTCTTTGCAGAGTGGGTCCAAAGACTTGCACAGTCAGGAGGTCTGAGAGTGCGGCAGGGGGGCTTATGGGGGTTCAGGGGCACCCGCGGTTACCTTCCCAGCGCTTGAGCGAGTGATGGCTGCTGGGTCGGGAGCAGGTGTGGTTCTCCTTCCCGCGGTGGATCGGGGCCCGTCCTACCTCCCCGTGCTTGAGCAATGGCAGCTGGGTCGGGAGCAGGCATGGTTCTCCTTCTTCCCTTCTTTTATATTCTTTTAGAGTTTGTGAAGGATTATAGTTTATTCTATTGTATTTATTTGGTAACTTCAGTGAATCCATCTGTGCTGGATTTTTCTTGGTAGAAGTTTTAAAATTTACTTATTTTAGATTTAGTCAGAATTTTCTATTTCATTGTGGCTTCTAATGAGCAATAAGCTATCAACATATGTGATTAGTTGCTGCTGTCTGCTGTTTTCATGTTTTCTTTGTTGATAGAGCAATGTCTATAAACAATCTTTATTTCTATTTATTTATTCATTTTTGGTACTGGGGATTGAACTCAAGCCCTTACACTTGTGAGGCAGGTGGCAGAAGCACTGAGCAAAATCCCTGGCCCTGAATAATCTTTGTTTAAAGATTGACAACAAGGTGTAGATCTCTTTTATCTTATTCTATTTAGAGTTCATTGAGCTTCTTGGATTTGTAGTTCTATGATTTTCAACCATTTTGCGAAGTTTTTCCTCATTATTTCTTCCAATATTCTGTGTCCCTCTCTGTGCTTCCTGCGACTGTCCTTTTACATGTGCCACTGCATGATGATTGGCCTCAGGACTGTTGAGTCTGTTCACTTATCTTTAATCTTCTGTTTCTTTCTGATTCTCAGATTAGATAATCTCAAACTGACTTGCCTTTAAATTTACTGATTTCTTCTACCTGTTTAACCTGGAATTGATTCTGTCTAGTGAAATTTTCATTTCAGTTAGTGTATTTTTATGCAGATTTTTGGGTTCATTTTTATAATTTTAGCACTCCATCGATTTTCCCTATTTGAAGAGATGCTCTCTCTATACTCTTAAGCCCTATAGTTATAATCTTCTTGGGTCATATTTAAAATAGCTAATTTTAGTGTGTTTTTCCAGTTAGCCTAACAGTTGCTCTTTGTTGGGCTCAGTTTCAGTTAGCTGCTCTTTTTTTTTTTTCAGCTTTAATTGAGTTTATTGGTACATTTTAGGGATACAGTACAGTAACATTCATTGTTGGGATCTTGTACCTCCACATGACAAGTATTGATTCTCATTTTTTCCCCTTACCCCTGCCCTCCCTTCACCCCCTCCTCCCCTCCCCATCTACAAATACTTTATTTCCATCTTTTCATTATCTCACACTTTTTTCTTTTCCCTTATTACCCTTTCCCTACTCAACCCACCTTCCCTACTCCTTTAGCTCCTTTCTTCCCTTTTTGAAATGTCAGTAATCTTATTAGGATCTTCTGTATTATTGCAGATTATTCACACCAGAGAAACTATTCGGTATTTACACATGTGTGACGTATTTATTTCACTTAGGAGTATATCTTCAATATGTATCCATTTTCCTATGAATGAATCTATTTTCTCATTCTTTATGGCTGAGTAATATTCCATTTTATAGAAAAACCACATCTTCTTTATCCAGTTTCCAACGGATGGGCAAATGGGCGGTTTCCAAGATTTAGCTATTACAAACTGTGCCGCTATAAACATGGGTGCACATACTTCTCTGTGTAGCTGCTGTTTTTTCATACACATGATTGTACTTCCTTTTTTTACATATTGTAATTTTAATTTGAAAACTTGGTATTTTAAATAATGTAGTATACTAACTCTGTAAATATAATTATTCATTCTCAGAATATGATGTTGTTTATTAGTGAATTTTCTGAACTAATTTTGAAAATTATGCAATCTTTATCATCTGCAGTCACTGAAGCCCCTAGGCAGCTTACTTAGACCAATGACTGGGTGGAAATTTTACTAAACACCAGGCACCAGTTATACCATGAGTCTGTGCTGAGCATCTCTATGTGCATGCTGATGCATGCCTTTAATTGTAGCTGGGCAGTGGATGACCCTACCTCATCATTCACTTTAGGCTCTGCAGAACCCCAATTTCAGTCAGAAGTGAGGACTCAAGGCCTCCTGGTATTTCCTGAGCATGGACACTATCCTGGCTGTGCACGTAACTGGCTGTCTATTTTCTAGGGAATGTGTCAGAAATTTTCAAAATTCCTGTGTATATGTCATGTCTTAGCATTTTTTCTTAGGGCTTTTGGTTAATTTACTGTTTACCCTATGTATTTCCCACTGTAATAGGACCTCATAAAATTTTAGTAAAAACAACCTTGCAGATGGGATTCAAAAACTTGCTGTTGGGTGTGGTAGAGCTCACCTGTAAAGCCAGCAGTCCAGAAGCTGAGGCAGGAGGATCACCATGAGTTCAAGGCCAACCTGGACTATATAGTGTGTTCAAGACCAGCCTGAACTACACAGTGAGACCTTGTCTCAGAAAAAACAAAAAACCAAAATCAAACAAACAAAAACCCCCAAAACACTTCTGGACAGGTCGTATAAATTCAGTTCTGTGGGAAGGAGGTTTTGAATGCACTGCCACCCCAACTGCACCTGTAGTGCCGCCACATTGCTGGTTCCCACTCTGATGTCAGAAGGTGGTTTTCAGGGTTATTGCAAAGCTGGGGGCAGAGCGAGGGCCACTAATGGGAATTTTGCAAGGTAAATCCTACAAGGTCATGGTTCTTTCCAAGTATGTTAACCTCTTATGGCTGTTGTAAAAAAGTACCACACACTGGGTGGCTTAAACAACAGAAATGTCCCAGAACTGTCTCACAGTTTTAGTGGCTAGAAGTTCAAATCAAGATTTGGTCAGCACTGGTTCCTTTGAGGGCTTTAAAGGAAGGATCCAACAGTCATTAGCACAACCAATTTGGTTTACTCTAGGAAGGCACCCTATTGATGTTAAGGATTCAATTAAAATATTCAAGAAGAAAAAACAAAATGAGCAACTCAATCAATACAAAATTTGTTAAAATTAGTAATCCATTTAAGACAAAAGCAAGTGAAGACCAGGCATCTTAAAGGCTCTGAAAAATTGTGTGTGTGTGTGTGTGTGTGTGTATCTATGAGTATGTGCATGTGTGTATGTATGTTCAATAAACATCTTGTGTTATGATGAAACTAACTGTTTAAAAAGAAAAATCAAGATATTTTATGTACAGGTACAAATTTCCTATTATGAATGTGATCATTACATCAAAAGTAAGTATACCAATACCATTAATTTTTAAAACTTTAGAGACAGACTCTTTAAAGTTAAGGAGACTTTTGATTCTGAAAAATAATTTTATCAGATCACAAAAATCTTTACACATGATGAGTCACTGAACAGTTGGCATGTAGTTTCTGAAAAGTTGTTAGAGACTTTTCCAAACAGTTACGAGTAAACTCAAAAATAATTTAACCTTTACTATGTTCCTTTTGCTTTCCTAAGGAATACTATTTCTGGGGCTGGGGATTTAGCTCAGTGGCACTGCACCTGGCTCACAAGTGCAGGGTCCTGAGTTTGATCCCTGGTACTGAAAAAAAATGCTATTTCTTCTATTTCTTCTTATCATGCTTCAAATTTTACTGCAAAGTGGGTCAGAATACTTAATATTCCACGCCTGCCTCACAAGTGCAAGGTCCTGAGTTAGATTCCCAATACCAAAAAAAAGCTTAATATTTAAAATCAAAGTAATATTTGTTGACTTTTTAATCACTTTATTTTTTATTTAGTACATTGTGCTATATCCTTCTCAATAATATGTTATTCCTCTAACCTAACAACTTATTCTAAGCTTTGTCTACATTTAATGCCTTGGCAAGATAGATAAAATCTAGATATAGAATTATCTTAATATGATCTTACTACTCTGTAATTGAAATTATACTCTGAGAATTGTCAGCATGCTGCAGTTCTGAATAAAAAGAACCAAGATATTTTCTTCAATTTTACCATGCGCCCATTCACACACACACACACACACACACACACACACACACACACACACGTGCGTGTGCGCATGCGCACAGACATTTTCCTGGGCAAACTAAAAACAGTGCAGTTTTCAGTGTTCTTTACACAGATAGTTCTTATTAGGAAAATGAAATGTTAATCCCAGAAAATTCTGTAAGAGACTGTAACCCAAACTCTACAAATGTAAGGTATTATGAAAGACAGAGCATAAAATATTACTGGCAAATTTTCGTGTTGCATTCCAGCAAGTGTCTACGTCATGCTCCACCAGCGGAGTCCACATGTGCTGTGTGCCACCCAGCAGCTTCGAAATGCTGAGCTCATAGACTCAACATTCCAGTGGCATGGGCCAAAAGGGAAAATTGCTTCAGGTAGGGTTTTGTTTCAGTTATCATGATGAAATAGGTATATCTTAACTGTATTCAAGTATATCTGTATACATAAAAAAGTCTATCTGTATCTCAGAATTTATCTATTGCTCAGTTTTCTTTGTAATTCCCTCTGGTGTTAGATATACTAGAGTAGATGGTGCTATCATTTTTGTTTTTTTATTTAATATAAAGACATTCTAGAAGACTGAACTGTCTGGAGATGTCTCTAAGCATCATTAGTCCAAAAGCAGTTATCTTTCCAGAGAAATTAATGTTTGTATGACTGACTTGATTGCTGTTTTCTATTTTCACCTTATTTTGTTTCAAAGTGCATAGTTCTACATTTTTAATTTGATAAATTGTAATTTATTTTTACATTGTACTTTAAAAAGTGTAAACTTCTTTGGCTGGTCTTTATTTTGTTTGTTTGTTTGTTTTGGTTTTTTTGGTACCGGGATCAAATTTGGGTCCTTGGGCTTAGAGAGGCAGGTGGCAGAACCATTGAGCTAAATCCCCGGCCCTGGCTGGTCTTTATTTTTGCTAAAATAGAGACTAATCGGTTTTCATCCTAAAGATTTGTTCGATGAAGCACCTACTCATTTTTGTATTCTACAGAAGAAGTTTTTCTTTTTCGTTGTTGTTTTATTTTAAAAATCTATATTGGTGTTTTGAACAGTGTCTGTTGATTAAAACCTGATGGTTTTCTATATTATCTTGAATAAAGGATAAGTTTATCTAAAGACTTGTTGAGGAAGCATTCATAGAAAATATTTATTTTGCAACATTGTTTTAATTCATATTTTATGTCATCGAGAGGTGTACATTTTATAATATTTATGTTGAGTTAAATAGCTCAGGCTTTAAAGAGTTAATATACTCTGTAGAGTACAGAGCAGTTCTTTCCAAGAGAGTCTACTTGGTAGATACCTTTGTAGGAAATGCAAGGCCGGACTTAACCTCTGCTGTAGTACATAACATAGTAGGAATGACCATGGTGTGCATTCATGGGAGCAGCAGGGATCAGTAAAAGAGATCCTACACAGTTTGACACTTCATTGACATCAATGAAATGGTCCAGTGCAAAAGAACTCAGGACTGGAGATGTAACCAAATTTTATTTTGATTGTTCTCTGTTATAGTAATATACTATAATGCAAATGTATATTTTAAATATATTCTACAGTTGATAGTGACATTCTTAAGCTGAAAAATAGAAGTATTCAGGTAGTGAATTTTTCTCTTGTATTTGTTGTTTGTTGGATGTGGAAACTGAAATTTTTTCTTAAGACAGTATGCTAGGTCTTGCAGTTCATATTACAGAGTATAGTGTATAATTCAATTTCTGCTTCAACTAGGGGCACTTTCATAATGGAAAAATAGATACTAAGAAGTGTAGCTGTTACAGCTGAGGATAAAATCACATTGAAACGATCTATCTGTTCATCCATTCACCCATCTGATTGCTGGGGAATTCTGACGCTCTAGCCTCAGGATTGCAGTGCAGTTTTCGGCGCAGCACCACCCTCTGGGGAACTTGCCCCTGATCCCCGATCTTCCTCGTGGGCACGCACAGGTGTTTGTGGGTGAGGCACCTGTTGGAGGGTGATCCCCTCCCTTGTCTGCTCCAGGGGCTTCGCCTGCTCATGTGGGTCTGTGCTTGGCTTACGCCACTTGAACGCAGTCTGACTCAGTATTCACCCCCATTCCCAGGACAGCAGAAGCGCCTGCCAGGTCCCGGCTCTACCTTCCGGCTGGGCTGTCTCCCCTGAGATTTGCTGTCACCTCCATTCTATAAAGGGGTCAAGAGAAGTTGTTCATTGCAGTTTTTTTCTAGGTTTTTCCATTCTGTAATGGTGGCATTGATGCTTGCACATGGCCTTTTTGTATCTGAGCAGAAGCCAGAAGTGGAAACCTGGTTTTGAAAATAAGGTGGAATTAAATTGTGCTTAACTTTCTGTCACATACTTTTGGATTTCTAAGACAGGGCTCTGTAAAACCTGTCTGACTCCATGAACTTTTAGATAGTCAAGTTAGGAAGGAAATACATACCCACTTTAATGAAACAGCTGCTTATTAAATATCTGTGGTTGCATGATTTCTTGTGCTACCTTATAGCCTGTGGCTCTGTTAATTCCCACTTAGACTTGGTCATTTAAGGTCTATGAAGTGATCGGTGAGACGAGAATTGCACAGGTAATCCTTGTGTTTGGCATGGAGTCCTCTGGATAGGCTTTCGGAATATATTCTTCAGCTTTTTAAAGAAGGTACCCAGAGGACATCTTATTACAGAGTGCTTGCTCCCCAGTTTTCTGGCTTTCGTAAAACAACATTTCACAGCCATCAAACCCGTAGTTTTTACACTTATTGATATTTCTGATATGAAAAGCTTTCATATTATGCCAGTGAATACGTAGCGTCTTCTTTGATAATATGGTCCTGTCAAATTTCTGTGACATTTATGGACATGTTTTATTGTATTATTATGTGGGATTTGTTTCTGCTGGAATGTATGGCAGGCACTTGCAAACTACTACTCTGTTTTAGGAAGGAATCAGCATGATAGGATAAACATGTGATACTTTATCAAAAGGTAGTCATGAAGAAATAGGTATTAAATAGAAATGCATTCTAAATTTCTGTCGTGCACTTCAGCTCCATCCATTTACAGAACTGCTCTGTGTAAGTTCCTTGAGGGTGGCTGTGTCCATCTGTTCATTTCTTTCTCAGTGTCTGAGGCTAGGCTTTGTGTGTACTAGAAATTAAATAAAAATTTATTTGAAAGTCGATAAGGAAAATTTTAGCACTAAGCACATTTACTTGTTAGTCTGAAGAAACATTTTGACCTGTAATTTGTAAAAATTCAGTCATACTTAAATACAAATATGCACTTCCTGAGATAGACTTCAATTCTATTGAATAGAATATTACATTTATTGACTAAGAAATTTAATATCTGAGGATTTTTTTCTAATAAAGCACCATAGTGATGAACTTTCAGAATTACATCTTACTTGCTTAATGATTTACAGCTTTTTGAAGTACTTGAAATAAGTATTGCATTTGTTAGACAGAATAATCCAGTGAGAGAAGCTGTCTATTCTATGCATGGAAAGGTGCTGGATTTCACAAACATAAAGTGGTCACCCAAGATTGCAGAGTGTGAGGAGAAAGGTAGTCCTTCAGCCAAGGGCCAGGGGTCTCACTGTCTGTTTTCAGCATAGCTTTCCTTCCGTGTGGTATTACAGGCATTCTGAGGTAGAAAGTGAGCTTGCAACTGGTCCTGACTCCAACATGGCCTAGCTCCAGGGCTGTGTGACCTGGGGCAAGGCGGACGACCTGCTGCTCTTTTTGTTTTTTTCTGGAACTCTCGAGGTTATAAACCAACACTTACCTGTGTCTTGTGTGGCTGCATGAATCTCTAGCTGTTCATGATTTGACTTCAATAGTCTTTGTTCTAGGTATACTCTTCTCTCTGGTTCACATGTACTTTGTAAGCTTACTGAGCTGTGACTCATCATTAAAGTGTATCACAGTATATATAAACACTTTCCATATAAATTATATAATTGGTACATATACATCTCATATATACTGTGGGTAAAATATGTCTGTATGTATGCATAGTTCGTACATGTATACATACACACATACACACTATACTTTGATAGTGTCCGCTCAGTGCAAAGGGCCGATTAAGGACACACATGCCATGTCATGGTTAGGCTCTTACCACATAGACAGCCATGCTGTTAGTGAGCCACAAGTGATCGGTGAGAGTCTGCCATGATGAAATCATCCCGGCACTCACTGTCAGCAAACACCAGATGCAAGGGCTGGCCGCACCCCAGCTCCTTTCAGGGACTGTGGAGGCAAACATGGTGGTTGGTTTTTCTCTGCTTGTAAAATGTCTTGGTGTTTTATCTGTCTTATGTAACTGAAACAGCTGCATTACTCCTTTGCTAGAAAATAGCACCGCACAGATAACCTCCACCAGAAGCCTTGTGTTCCAGAATTTCGAGGAGACCATGAGCGGGGTTTACACTTGTTTCCTCAAATATAAAGCTCATGTGGAGGATCCTATTAAAAATCTTCAACTGAAATATGTTGTATATGGTAAGAAGCGAATCTGCGTTTTAAATTTTCACAATGTTTTAAAATACTGAAATGTCTTTACAGTTTTGTTTTACGTGTAATTTTTTTTTCTATTTTTCATCTGTTTTAATTTTTAAAAATTACTGCTTGTTGATATTTTACTTTGTGCATCTTAACAGCAACATCCCCAGGACCCTCTAGAAGCTTAGCATGCAGTCCTTACTAGACATTTGCCTAGGTGCTAGAGAATGCCTAGGAAGCACAAAAAACGTCTGACTCCACGGAGTCAGGCAGGTGTCCTGTTTCATGCATGGACATGGGCTCTACATTGTTGTGTGGGGTGTGCATGTGTGTGCACTTCACAGGGCATTCAGAGGAGGCTACTTTGGGGTGGCATTTGAGAGCATCGGAGGACAGTTTGACTCCCATTCAGACCTCACTGTATCTCCAGCCTTCTGGAGAGAAGACTTGCCATGTTTAGTCCACAGGCTGAGAGGTACTTACTCTGTTCCCAGCCCTCCCTGGAGCCTCGCTCCATTTTCCAGCTCTGACACCCCGGGTCAGGTGTTTTGTGTCTTGCACACCTTTGCTGATATAAACCTTGATACACGAGTATGTATGTAGATAACTAAGATGTGCCTTTATTTCTTACTTGCTACAGATGAGTCCGTACAAGTGTGGTGTATTTACAAGATTTGTATCTGGATTTGACATTTATTTTCAGAATTCTTGTTCCCTGTTTCATAGACCTTTTTGGTACTGTGACACAAATCTTTTTTCAACTTATACAATACTTTCCCAGTTTGTCCCTTGACTAACTTCTTTTGTGTTGACCCTGCTCTGTTCTGGAACTCTTTCACTTTGTTGTCCATTATCTGAGATCTCTCTTCCTTATGTTCCTCTTACAGTTTTCATTTGTTTCTAGTTTTACTCTGTTTTATGTGAAAATTTTATTGTGTGCTATACAAAGTTAGTTATGATTAGGTTTTTGCCTTTTTATCATTTCAGTTATTTTTTTTCAATTTCAGTATTTTATGTGTTTTAGCTTTTCAAGGATAATTGTATTTGTTCATCATTTCTCTGACAATAGCTTTATAATAATTTCATGTGTATTTTGTCTTTACTGTTTACAATTGTAAAAATTTATTAATCCCTCCTACATTAACTATCTGTTAGATCTTTTTCTCTTGATTTGTTATTTCTTACTTTAGCTGTCTTGGATTTTCCAAAAGGTGAGGGCAGGAAGTCTAGTTTCCATTTCCCTTTGCAAATGAAACTGGTAGAGGTTTCCTTGGCAATCAGAAGCTGTCTGGTCTCCACAGTGAACACAAGATCAACCATACCTAAGAATGTGTACTCGATTTTAGCTCACAGGTATGGGCAATGGGCAGGGGCAGCACCAGGTTCAGTGCCCAGAGCAGGGGGACAGAGCAGCAGCAGAGTGCCTGGTCTTGAGAGGTGAACCTTCCTGAGTTTTGGCATTGTTATACATTTCTGTTCATTATTATATTTCTTCTATCTTTTAAATAAGATTGTGTGATGGACTTGAGAAAATACACGTTTCTAGTCTTAAATGTTGTACTGGAATGCAATGAAACTAACTATGGAATTATTAGAAACATATGTCAACTGTTTTTGGTAATTACAAGGTGTGATCAAAGACTCAAAATAATTTTTTTAAATTACAGTAGAAAGGTCTGCGATCACCCGGCGGCGTGCGCGCGAGCTCCCGGCCTGCGCGGGAGCTCCCGGCCTGCGTGACAACAGACCCAGGAAGGACCCAAGGACCCCAGAGGGGGTTTTTTTCAGCTGCCTGCCTACCTGCCTGTCTGCGATCACCCGGCGGCGTGCGCGTGAGCTCCCGGCCTGCGCGACAACAGACCCAGGAAGGAAGGTAGCCGCGCGGGCGCCCTTGAAACACCCACACGACCCCCCCCCCCGTTCTCAAAACTCCTGATCGGGCCAGTCCTTAGACCAACTCTGCAGAGGCATAGGTTCCCATGAAGGGTAGTTTTCTGAGCTCCGAACTTTGATCATCTTTAAAGAAAGGGCAGGGGAAACCTGTAATAGAACGGAGTGGAGTTCAACCCTGAGGGTAAGGAAACTAAAGTTAGGCTTTGTAGATTGTGTTCAGTCTCAGTCGTGAGGAACAGCCATTGGCTAGCTATAACCAGGGGATTGGGTTCCGCATATGACTGTGCATGTGGTATAATATGAGATCAGAGATAGCCTGAAAGAGGACCTTCAAATTCTTTTTCTTTCCCTCTCTCTTGTCTCTTTTTTCCTCTTTCCACCCTAAAATTTCTTTCTTTTTTCTGTCCTGTCTCTCCAACTCAGTCTCTTGCTCCACCATAGTGTCCCTCATCTCCCTTTTTATTCCAGTTCCTGAAGAACTCAGACTTCTTTTTTTATTTTTTGTTTTTAGGACGGGTTTCTCTTTATGTTCTTTTCTCCAGTCATTTTACCTCACTCATGGCTCTGTACCTTCAAGGGAAGGCAAGCGCCTGTTACTGTTAAGGGGATATATTCCTGTCCTTATTCCTGCACTCTCTCTATCCCCCCTGAACTTAATAGCTTTGTAAAGATAGTAAGGTAATTCTACAACCTCTGGATTCACTTCAAACCTGCTCTAATTCTTTCACTTATCTAATCCTCTTGTTCTAAGTCGAACCCCCCATCCTAAATGGTAAAGATGCCATATTGAAAAGAATATTCACTGCAAACATACTATGAGCTGCTTCTTGAAATTAATCTAATTCACATGAGTTAAAGGTGATACATTAATGACTACCATAAGTGGTCAGTTGGCAAGCTGTGCCTGATCCTATTGGGCTGCTGAATGTATCAATTGGGACAAAGAGTGGTGATTGATTTAAAGAGTTGTTTTCTCTGATATTATGAAAACGAGAATGTCTATGAGTCATTAGAAACTCAAAAGCTAAAACGCAACTATATTAGGAAGATTTAAGTAATACCCAGAAATTAAAGAAGGACAACCCAACAATAAAAATAAAAATGAGAAAACACTTAAGCAAGACACAAAAACAAATATCCAGTTCACCAATAGCAAATAGTAGGACAAATGAGGATGAAAAGTCTGATAGTGAACCAACAGGACTCCCTGGACCCATAGCACAGGAGGTAACAAAATTGATCAATCAGGCTCTAGAAAAATTCAAATCAGAAATAATTTCCCAGCTAGCCAGAGAGATGATGAGCAAAATAGAAGTCATGATTCGAGACTCTAGAGCAGAAACTGAGAAAAAAATAGATGAGCTCAAGACTGTGATAGAAGCCATGAAGACTCAGCATAAGAAAGACATGGAAACAATGAATGCCCAACAGAGGAAAGAAATGGAATCCATAAAACAGATTCAAACAGATATCCAGGAGATTAAAAACTCTATTGAAAGTGTACGAAACAGAATAAAAGATTGCGAAGATAGAATTTCAGATATAGAAGATAGGATAGCAGTCAGTGACCGTGAAAAAAGAGGTCTATTAAAAACAGTAAGGGATCATGAGAAATCAATCCAACAACTCCTAGACGATACAAAGAAAAATAACATAAGACTGATAGGAATTCATGAAAAAACAGGAGAAAACACAAATGATATAAAAAAGCTCTTCACAGAATTAATGACAGAAAACTTCCCAAACAGAAGGGAAGAATTAGACATACAGATAAGTGAGGCATATAGAACCCCAACTAGCCACGATCAAAAAAAATCTACACCTAGACATATAATAATCAAGATTCCAGAAATCCAACAGAAAAACAAAATACTACAAGCAGTAAGAGAAAAGAAACAAATCACATGCAAAGGGAAGCCCATTAGAATCACAGCAGACTTTTCAACACAAACCCTTAGGTCAAGGAGAGCCTGGAGTGAGGTATTCCAAGTCCTAAAAGAAAAGAATCTCCAACCTAGACTTTTGTATCCTGCAAAACTCTCTTTCAAAATAGATGGGGAAATAAAATACTTCCACGACAAAGAGCACCTGAGAAATTTCATGAACACCAAACCAGCACTGCAAGGAATTCTAAACAATATCCTAGAAAAGGACAACGAAATTCACAATAACATGAGGCCCAACAGACCAAATCAAATAGGCAAGGCAAGAAACTAAAAGGAGATGGGAGAAAAAGTAAAAAGAGTCAACAAATGGACAAAAACATGACAAGAATAAGTCAAAATATATCAGTTGTAACCATCAATGTTAATGGCCTCAATTCACCAATCAAGAGAAACAGATTGGCAGAATGGATTAAGAAGCAAAATCCAACAATATGTTGTATACAAGAAACACACCTAGTGCAAAAGGAAGTCCATAGACTGAAAGTGAAAGGATGGAAAACAATTCTCCATGCGTCAGGAGTCCAGAAAAAAGCAGGGGTAGCAATCTTATTCTCAGATAAAGTAAATTTCAAACCAAAACTCATTAAGAGAGACAAAGAAGGACACTACATCCTTGTAAAGGGAACAATTCAAGAGGAAGAGCTGACAATCATAAACATATATGCACCAAATATAAATGCCCCCAACTATATAAAACAAATATTAAGTAACATGAAAAACCAAATAAGCACTAATACAATTGTAGTGGGGGATTTAAATACCCCACTATCACAAATTGACAGATCTACTAGGCAGAAAATCAACAATGAAATAATAGAACTGAACCAAGCTTTGGAACACATGGACTTAATAGATGTTTATAGAGTATTCCACCCCCAAAAACCAGAATATACATTCTTTTCGGCTGCACATGGATCATTCTCCAAAATAGACCACATACTGGCTCACAAAACAGGTCTAAATAAATGCAAAAAAATTGAAGTCATCCCCTGTTTATTATCAGATCATAGTGCAATCAAACTAGACATCAATAGCACAAGAAACTATAGAAACTTCACAAGCACATGGAAACTGAACAACACTCTCCTAAACAATCAATGGATTACAGAGGAAATTAAAGAAGAAATTAGACAGTTTTTACAAATAAATGAGAATGCCAATACAACATACAGGAATCTTTGGGACACAATGAAAGCAGTTCTACGTGGAAAATTCATAACATTGAATGCCCACACTAGGAAAACAGAGCGGGCTCAAATAAACAACTTAACGATGAAACTTAGACTCCTAGAAAAACAAGAGCAAGAAAAACCCAAAGCTCGAACAAGAGAGGAAATTATAAAGATCCGAGCAGAAATCAATGCAATTGAAATTAAGAAAACGATACAAAAAATAAATGAAACAAAGAGCTGGTTTTTTGAAAGAATAAATAAAATTGACAAACCCTTAGCTAATCTTATCAAAAAAAGGAAAGAAAAGGCTCAGATCCATGCAATTAGGAATGAAAAAGGCGAAGTCACAACAGATCCGAAAGAAATCCAGAGGATCATGAACACCTACTTTGAGAACCTGTACTCTAATAAAATGGAAAACACAGAAGAAATGGACAGATTTCTAGATACTTATGAATTACCAAAGTTGAACGAAGAAGATAAAAACATTTTAAACACCCCAATCACAATCAGTGAAATTGAAAATGTAATTAAAAACTTACCAACAAAGAAAAGCCCAGGCCCTGATGGATTCACTGCTGAATTTTACAAGACATTTAGAGAAGAACTACTACCATTACTCTTCAAACTTTTCAATGAAATTGAAAGAGAAGCTATACTTCCAAATTCATTCCTGGAAGCAAGTATCACTCTGATTCCCAAACCAGAGAAAGATACAACCAAAAAGGAGAACTACAGACCAATCTCCTTAATGAATATAGATGCAAAAATCCTTAATAAGATACTAGCAAACAGAATACAGAGGATTATTAAGAAGATCATCCATCATGACCAAGTCGGATTTATTCCAGAGATGCAAGGGTGGTTCAACATACGAAAGTCAGTGAATGTAATACATTATATTAACAAAGTCAAGGACAAAAACCATATGATCCTCTCAATAGATGCAGAAAAAGCATTTGATAAAATTCAACACCCATTCATGATAAAAACCCTGCAAAAAATTGGAATAGATGGTCTATACCTCAATTTAATAAAGGCTATTTATGAAAAACCATCAGCCAACATCATATTGAATGGCCAAAAACTGAAAACCTTCATGTTAAAATCAGGAACAAGACAAGGATGCCCACTATCGCCACTTCTCTTCAATATAGTTCTGGAAACATTAGCCACAGCAATTAGACAAGAGAAAGAAATTAAAGCAATAAAGATAGGAAAGGAAGAAGTTAAACTATCATTATTTGCTGATGATATGATACTCTACATTGAAGATCCAAAAAACTCCACCAAAAAACTTCTAGACTTAATTGACAGATTCAGTAAAGTATCTGGATACAAGGTGAATACCCAAAAATCAATAGCCTTTCTATACACAAATAACAGACAGACAGAAAGAGAAATAAGGGAAAAAATTCCTTTTACAATAGCATCCAAAAAAATGAAGTATCTAGGAATCAATCTAACAAAAGAAACAAAAGATCTCTACACTGAAAACTACAGCACTCTGAAAAAAGAAATCGAAGAGGATATAAAAAAATGGAAAGATATCCCCTGCTCCTGGGTAGGAAGAATCAACATAGTGAAAATGGCCATACTACCGAAACTGCTATATACATTCAATGCAATGCCAATTGAAATTCCAACACTATATTTCACAGAACTAGAAAAAAGAATCCAAAAATTCATTTGGAACCACAAGAGACCTAGAATAGCAAAAGCCATTATAGGCAACAGTCACATGGCACCAGGTGTAACAATTCCCAATTTGAAACTATACTACAAAGCCACTGTGATAAAATCAGCATGGTACTGGCAAAGAAATAGGCCTGAGGATCAATGGAACAGACTGGAAGACACAAAAACAAATGCAGATGTACTCAGCTACCTCATCTTCGACAAAGGAGCTCACCATCCTCAGTGGAGGAAAGATAGCCTCTTTAATAAATGGTGTTGGAAAAACTGGATATCAACCTGTCACAGATTAAAATTAGACCCTTATCTTTCGCCATGCACTAAATTAAAATCCAAATGGATTAAAGATCTAAATATTAAAACAGAAACATTAAACTTGCTGGAAAGTAAGTTAGGCAGAACTCTGGAAGACATTGGTATAGGAAAAGACTTTATGAACAAATCCTCAGTAGCACGGGAACTAGCAGAAAGAATCAACAACTGGGATCTCATCTTACTAAAAAGCTTCTGTACTTCAAAAGAAACCATTAGCAGAACTAAGAGACAATCTACAATGTGGGAAAAAATTTTTACCAGCTGTACCTCAGACAAAGGACTATTATCAAGGATATATAAAGAACTCAAAACAATCAGTCCCCCCAAATATAAAGACCCGATCCAAAAATGGGCATCCGAAATGAACAGACATTTCTCATACAAAGAAGTGAAAGCAGCAAGAAAATATATGAAAAAATGTTCCACATCACTGGTCATTCGAGAGATGCAGATGAAAACAACACTGAGATTCCACCTCACCCCACAAAGAATGGCTGCTATCAAGAAATCACACAATAACAAATGTTGGCGGGGTTGTGGGGAGAAAGGAACCCTCCTCCATTGTTGGTGGGAGTGCAGACTAGTGCAACCACTATGGAAATCAATATGGAGATACCTCAAAGAGCTTGGACTGGAGGTTCCATTTGACCCAGCCATCCCTCTGTTGGGTATCTTTCCAAGAGAACTAAAAGAATCATATCACAGAGAAGTATGTGCACCCATGTTTATAGCGGCACAGTTTGTAATAGCTAAATCTTGGAAACAACCTATTTGCCCATCCGTTGGAAACTGGATAAAGAAGTTGTGGTTTTTCTATAAAATGGAATATTACTCAGCCATAAAGAGCGAGAGAATAGATTCATTCATAGGAAAATGGATACATATTGAAGATATACTCCTAAGTGAAATAAATAAGTCCCACATGTGTAAATACCAAATAGTTTCCCTGGTGTGAATATTCTGCAACAATGCATAAGATTCTAATAAGATTACTGACATTTAGAAATGGGAGGAAAGGAGCTAAAGGTGTAGGGAAGGTGTGATACGTAGGGGAAGAACAAAAAGGGAAAAGAAAAAAATGTGAGAGAATGAAAAGATGAAAATAAAGTGTTTGTAGATGGGGAGGGGAGGAGGGGGTGAAGGGAGGGCAGAGGTAAGGGGAAAAAAATGAGAATCAAGACTTGCCATGTAAAGGTACATGATCCCAACAATGAATGTAACTGTACTGTATCCCTAAATGTACCAATAAACTCAATAAAAAAAAATAAAATAAAAAAAATAAAAAAAATAAATTACAGTAGAAAGACACATTGTCATGAATTTCCCTCAAAACACTCCTACTGGCATTAAACATATTTGTGGCATTGTTATTGCCAGTTTATGAAGCAGTTCTGGAAATATTCTTTCCTGAGTGTCTTCACGTGGTGTGATAAAATATAGTCAGTGCTGCTGCTGAGTGCCAGCCACTGGAAAGGCAGGCTCATAACAGCACGACAGCACTGTACATCTTCCCTTTATTCTCTGGGTCTGGCACCATCTCGCTTCTGGCTCTTCTCCAAAGTCAAAATGACCACTAAATGTATTTTAAATCCATTCAGATCAAGGCAACCACAACAACACAACTAAAGACAGGAAAGAGGACTTCCAGAACTACTTAAGAAAGTGGCAAAGATGGTTCGGATAAATGTGTTTGATGCCAGCAGGACTATTCTGAAAGGGATGCCTGGCAACATATCTTTCAGTGAGATATATACTTTTAAAAATGCATAGTCACTGTATTTTTTCATCACATCTCATATACAACTTTAATTTCTTCTAAGATAAATATTTGGATGTAGAGAAGTGTTAAATCTGACTTTTAGGAGGAAAGTGTAGTGGTTGAGAGCATGCTCTCTGGGACTAAAATCTTAGTTGTGATGGTGTAGGCACTAGTCACGCGATGTCCCTCATTTCCTCATGATGGATGTAATAATAATGCAGTACCACATGATGTTAGAGGGTTAGATAAGTCATTGTTTGTAAAGTGCCTATAATAGTATTTGGCACTTGGTAACTGTTAGAAGTGTTTTTTCTATAGGTGGAAGTGAATATATGAATATAGCCATGTGTAAAATATAAACTGGTAATTATCCCAATAATGATTCATCCCAAAAAGTTGCAGTGTTTATTTCATTTACTTGAGTAACCATGTTTGTGTACTTCTCTGTTTAATTTCTACAGCCTATTGTGAGCCTCATTATTATTACCAGTTTACAGCTCGATATCATGCAGCTCCCTGCAATAGCATCTATAATATTTCTTTTGAGAAGAAACTTTTTCAGATTTTAAGCAAATTGGTTCTTGACCTTTCATGTGAGATCTCCTTACTTAAGTCTCAGTGCCATTGCATCAAAATGCAAAAAGCTGGTTTGCAAAATGAACTGTTCTTTACATTTTCAGGTAAGTATATACAACATTAAAAAAAATTGAAAATGTACAACTGATTTTAAAGACATGTTAATGATCACAGGCATTTTTAGCATATAAATGTTATAAATCTACTTATATTTTCTGTTCTCTACTTTGATTTAGTAACAAATCCCAAGTAAAATCTTACTATATCACACACATAACAAAAAATTCGCTCTCTGAAATAACTTTAGCCCTGTGGTGGTAATTTACTATGGAATGAAACTCAGTACAAGGCTCTATCATGATGTTCAGTTACAAAGATTACATTTTTGAAAGTCTCGAATTAGAGGATGGATTAATACTGTTTTTTCTAAATGATGCAGAATGGGAATCCAGTATTCTCTAAGGTCTTTAGATTTATAAATGGTATGTCCATGAATGCTGTCCTAGGAATACCCATCCGTGTGCTTTCTAGGGTGTTCATCCCTTGTTTCATCTTGTATGCAGTTACTTACTGTAATCTTTTTCTTCCCTTCCCTTCATTCTTTTCCTTGCTTTCTCTGCTCTCAGTATCTGATTATACTTACCAATTTCGCTCATTTTCCTCTCTCTCTCTCTCTCTCTCTGTTACACAAACACACACACAAACACACACACCTAAGTTTGACATTTTAGAGACAAAGTTGAGAAACATGAAGCTTTAAAGGTGTAGAACAAGAATTCAACCTCACTTTCAGTCTTTTATCTTCCTTACTATGTTCTTTCCTCTTCTCCAGAAAACACTGAGAATTTTTCACTAGTCCCTGAGACAATTTACTAGCATAGACTCTCTCCTTAGCTCTTCCAGGACCCATTTCTTAGCATTCATAGGAGAAATGAAATGTTTGCTCCCTGGTCTGTTTCATGGGCAGACAAATCCTTGGAAAACTTGTGTGTTTGAATCTATAAGAGAAAGGAGATAACATTCAGTAGAAATGAGGCATTGGGAACTTGTCTGCATTTCCCTAATGACTGATTTGATAATCTTCTCATGTGCTATTGCCCATTCGTGCATCTTCTTGGAGAAATGTTTGTATTTAATTCTTTTTAAACTAAGTTATATGTCTCTTGTTCTCCAGTTGTAAGAATTTTTTATATATAGTCACACATGTATCTGCTTATTTCTGGAGTTCATATACATTTTGTGGCTCTGTGTCTCTACAGTAGTGCAACTTCTGATGCCTGTGGACATTGCTTTGGTTACTGCAGCTTTCTGATGGGGCTTGGAATCACGAAATGAAAGTCCTCCACCTGCACTTCCTTTTCAATGTCCTTGTGAGATGGGGGGGTGATTGCATTTCCATATGAATTCTGCTGTGTGCTTTTCCATTTCTGCCCAAGAAAGCCATTGGAGTTTTGATGGTCATTGCAATAAACCTGTGTATAGGTTTGGATGTTGTTATAGCTGTGTCTCGATGTCCCCCCAAAGTCTCATGCAGTCATGGGAAGGGCTTTTTCAGAGGTGGCTGGATCTAGAGTGTGTGAAGCTGGGACTGATTCATGCTGCAATGCTAGGATCAAGGGCACTAGTATTAAGGGCATGAGTGCTACCCGCCCCAAGTAGTCTGTATAAAATATAAGGGACAGAAAGATCTGTGGTTGTCCCTTGTTGCTTTGCTACCTTCTGCCCACCACGGACTACTTCTCTTCTGTGATGCCCCTCTGCGATGCCACCCTGCCTTAGAGCCATCCAATTATGGACTGAAACCTCTAAAAACTGTGAGCTAAATATAACTTTCCTTCTTTAGTTCTGGGTGTCAGGTATTTTGTCTTAGCAATGAGAAAAGTAACTAATACACAATTTGGTACCACAGAAGTAAGGTCATTGCTGTGACTGTGCCTGACCATGTGGTTTCGGAGCCTTTGGAGCTGGCTTGTGGGAAGGAGAAGAGGTAGGAGAGGTTCAGAGATGCTGGCTGAAAAAGTAGAGCTGGAAGGCCTGAGGCTGTAGTTGACAGCATATTCTGGTCAGAGCTCAGAAGACCAGAATGTTGATAGAAATCCTGTCAGTAAACACCAGGTTCAGAAGGGTTCTTCTGGGAAGAAGGGCTGCATTGGCTGTCTGGCTCCAGACAATGTGTGTTATGCCTTGGCAGAAAGTATATCTGCATTTTTCTCATGTCCAGAGACTTCCTGAGACTGAGATTAAGGGCAGTGAACTAATTAATCTGGCAGAAGAAATTTCAAGGCAGTCTAATGTTGAGGTGGTGACATAGCTACTGTTTGGGGCTTTTTAGCCAGATTTATGTTAAGAATCAAGAGGAAAGAGCCCAGCAGAATGATTCATAAAATTTTGAGTTTGGCCAGACAGGAAGATCCAGTAAAGCTGTGGTCTGCAAAGATGGAGCAGAGGAGAAACTGGTAACTGAAAAGACTAGCAAGAAAAAGCCAAGTATTTCAGAAGATGACAGAAAAGATGGCTGGAGGACATCACAAGAACCAGCGTTACTCCTGCCTTTGAGGCTTCAGAGTTGCAAAGGTGTAAGACTTTCCTTTGAGAAGACAGCCCTAGAGCACCTTGTTCTAGAATAATAATAGCCTAGGAATGTTGTTTCTTAGGATTTAGTTTAGAAGCCCTCGACCCCTACAGCCAAGACAGAAGGAAGTCTGGCTACTAATGCTTCAGCTGGCAGCAGACCCTTACAGCATCCACGTGGTGCTGGTTTTAGGTGCATGCAGAATGCAAGAGTTGTGGGGTCAGGAAGGCTTCCACCCAGATTTCAGAAGAAGTCCCGGGAGGCCAGGCAGTGTGTCCCTGAGAGGGCCCTGTGTGAAGCTGGGAGTGTGAAGCTGAAGGTGCATTGGAGAACCCAGAAGTTTGGAAAAGCCAGGAGTGTGGATTGCCTGAGGAAAACTTCGAAGACGGAGCAGAGCCAGCCCTAGAGAGAAGCCATGGGAGCTACAACCACTGGAAGTGCTGTAGGGGTGGAGCCACCAAAACACTTTGGAGTTGACAACTTTCCAGATTGCCGAGCATGCTGGAAGTAGAACTGTGGGGTTTAATGTTTGCTTTGCTGGATTCTGGTCTTGCTTTGTTCCCATTCCTCCTGTTTCTAACTTTGGCAATGGAAATTACCTTGTGCAATGTTGGAAGTGTTTAACTTTCTTTTCATTTGTACAGCTAAGAGTTTGCCTTAAGTCTCAGAGGAGACTTTGGACTTGGACTTTTCAGCGATGCCGAAACTGTTAGGACTTTGGCAACTCTTGGAGATGGACTAAATGCCTTTGGCTTAAAGAGATGTGCATGAGTCTTTGGGGGGCCAGGGTGGAATGTTATGGCTGTGTCTCAGTGCCCCCCTGCAAAGCCTCATGCAGTCATAGGAGGGGCTTTTCAGAGGTGGCTGTATCTAGAGTGTGTATCACTTGGATTGACTCATGGTGCAATGGTAGGCTGAAGGGCACTAGGATAAGGGTGTGAGTGCTAACTGCCCTAGGTAGGCTACATAAGATAAGAGGGGACGAAAGAGCTGTGTCATCCCTTTTTACTTTGCTACCTTCTGCCTGCCATGGACTGTTTCTCCTCTCCACACCACCCTGCCTTGGAGCCAGCTAATTACGGAATGAAACTTCTACAAACTGTGAGCTAAATAAACCTTCCTCTTTAACTTTGGGTTTTGGATTTTTCGTCTCAGCAACAAGAAAACTAAAACAGATAGTATTACCACGTTAAAGATACTGTCTTCAGATCCACAATCACGCGTACTTTTCCATTAATTTAAGACTTCTTTACTTCTTTATTTTCTTCTTTACTTTACTTTTTATAGTTCCAGTATACAAACTCACTGGCAAATTATCCCTAAATAAGTTGATGCCCTTTTAAGTCAATTATTTTCCTCATTTCCTTGACACAATGTATACATTTTGTTAGATTTATACCCAAGTGTTTCTTATTTTTAAAATTTAAGGGTATTACACTTTAATTCAAATTATATTGGTTTATTCAAGCCACAGGATAGCAGCTTACTTTGGTTTTTAAATTTTTATTGTGTGAATTTAGGTGCTTTTCTGTACATATGCATATTTAAGTGATTGTTGCCAACAGACACTCCTCATATCTAGCATATGGATGTGTTATGTGTCTCTGCAAGGTTCCCTTTTGGGTGCACACCTGTGAGAACGTTTGCTTGGTCACAAAATAATTCTATTTGTAATTTCTTAAGGTGCCTCTGTGTTGTTTGCACAATGATCGTAGCTGTCTATGAGTACATTCCCAGTGACATTATATGAGAGCTCTCTTTTTTCCACTTCCTCCACAACACATTTCTCTCTCATTTTTTTTATTATGGCCAACTTAACAGTTATGAAATAATATCTCACTGTGGCTTTGATTTGAATTTCTCAAATGAGTACTGATATCAAATAGCTTTTCAGGTACCTGTTGGGCATTTTTATGTATTCTTTGTGAATTTTTATTCAGATCTTTTGCCTATTTTTAAGTCATGTTATTAATTTTTTTTGCTGGGGTTGTATGAACTATACACACACACATATGGAAGAGAGAGATGTACAAAACTTTGTACAAACTTTTCAGATTAATATAGTTACCATTGTTTATTTTGCTTATGTTGCTTGTACTGTTTATATCCTATTAGAAAATCATTGCCAACACCAGTGCTCAGAAGCATCCCTCCTTTGTTTTCTTCTGGGAGTTACACAGTTTGAGGCCATAGTTAAGTTCTGTGATTTTTATGCGTGGTGTAAGTGTCTGATTTTATTCCTGTGTATGTACATATCAGTTTAGTGAAGAAGTGATCCTTTCCTTGCTGTGTTGTCTTGGTGCTCTTGTTGGAAACTGGTTGACCCTGCAGGCTCTGGTTTACTTCTGGGCCCTCTAATCTGCTCCACTGGGCTGCCTATATTATTATGCCAGTGTGGTTTGGTCACTGTAGCTTTGTAGTTGAAATCAGAAACTTTTACTTTCTCAGAATTTCTTTAACCCTGACACCTTTTTTGATTCAACCAACATTTTAGACATTGTGTATTAACATTGCACCTTGAAACCTTGTTGTGATTGCTTATTTGTTCCAGTTCTTTCTTGAATTTTGGTATTTCAACAGAGATAATCATGTCACCTCTGAGGAGTCTTATTTCTCTCGTATCCATGTGAAACATATCCCTTTTGTATCTGTTTCTCATTTTAATGCAATGCTTTCTCTAAGACTTCTGGTACAATGTGGAATAATGAAGGAGAGCGGCTGTACCCTTTTCCCTTTCTTGACATCAGGGAGAAAATCTCCAGAGTGTTTTTTTTTTTTATCGTAACAGCAGCTATAGTGAATTTGTTAGAGATGGCCTTTATGAAGCTGAGAGTTTGTTACTTTGCTGGGAATTTTTGTCAAGATTAGGTAATAGGCTTTGCCCAGGGTTTTTTTCTACATGTACCATGCGATTGTTTTTATTTACTCTGTCAATGTATTTTGATTTTTACATGTTGAACCAGACTTATTTACCTGGTTTAAATCCCACTTCATCGTGAGTTATATTTCTTTGTAATATGTTCTTCAATTTAGTTTGTTACTCTTCTGTTGATAAATTTTACGTCTATGCTCATTAGTAGCACCAGTCTGTGGTTGTCTTTTCCTATAATGTATTTACCTGGTTTTAGTATTAGGGTAATTCTGTTCTCATAAAATGTCCTCAGAGACACGGTTCCCAAATGTCTTCTCCAATTCTGGAGTGAATGCACGTATTTTCTGAAGTATATTGTAGGCATTGTTATAGTTTATTTCTTAAAAATTTTGATAGAATTTACCAATGAAATCATCTTTGTCAGGATCTATTTAGGAAGGTAGTTAAATAGTTACTTGATGTATTTATTCAATTTTCTTCTTATTCTTGTATGAGTTTTCATAGATTCTGAATAAGAATTTGTCCACATTATCTAGATTATCACCTTTAAGGATGCTTCTCTTAGTATTCTCTTAATATTTTTAAGGTGTATAAATCAGAAGTAATGTGACTCTTTTATTTCTCATATTAGCAAGTGTGGATTCTTTTTTTTTTCCATAAAGATTTATCAGTTAATACGTTTAGACAACTAGATTTTGATTTCACATTTTGATTATCTATTATTAATTTTATTGATTTTTGCTCAATTTTTATATTACTTTTCTGCTCTCTTAAATTGAATTTGTGGCTCTTTTTAAAGGTTTCCTAAATGGAAGCTTCAGTAATTGAATTTGTATCATTTTTCTTCTTAATCTGTATTTTCAATACTATAAATTTCTCTCTGAGCACTCTTGAATTACATACCCTGAATTTTGATAAGTTGTATTTCCTTTTACTTTAGAATATATCATTTTTATTAAGATTAGATATATTATACAAGAGTGTAATGTTTAATGTCCAAATATTTGGGTGTTTTCCATCTCTTTTTCTGCCATTGCATCCTAGTTTAATTCTGTCATGGTACATACATGAGTGCATACATGGTGTGCTTTCTGTTCTTTTAAATCTATTTAGTTGTCTGTTATGGGCCCAAATGTGGTCTCTCTTCTGAGAGTGTTTCATGGGAGCTTGAGAAAAAGATGTAGGTATTCTGCGTTTATCGAATAACACAGTGTATCTAAATACCCTTTGGTCAGGTTGATGGTGCTCTTCGGGTCCCTTAAGATCTTCATTTCCTGCTCTCTGGATTTTTCAGTTATTCACAGAGGGGTGTTGACATCTCCTCCCTATATGTTAGTGACTAGTGGATTCTTTATCCCTCTTTGCACTTTTGTCAGTTTTGTCTTAAATACCTGTACACTCATTAGTCCATACATATAAGGGATACTTATGTATGTGGAAAATTTACCCTATTATTGTAATAAAATGCGTCCACTTATTCCTGATCATTTTTTTGCCCTGACTTCTATTTTGTGTGAAATTGATATAGCTACTCTAGCTTTCTTTTAATTCAGGTTAGCATAATCTATATTCTCCATTAGTTTTCTTTTAATCTATCCATGTCTTTCTGTGTTAAGTGGATTTCTTATGGACAACCTGCATTCTAGCCTCCATGGTTTTTTATAAGAAGTGATATGTTCATTTGATTGTAGGCTCCTTGCATGTGGAATCACTTCCACTTTCTAGATTTGCTCATCTTCCATTTTTGGAAGTTTGGTTATAATATGTCTGAGTGTGGAATTCCTTGCATTTCTCTTGGATATATGTGGATTCCTTCGATCCTCTTATATATGTAGATTTATGTCTTTTATCAAGTTTGTGGAATTTTGACCATTATTTCTTCTAATATTCTTTCTGTTTGCTTTCCTTTTTTACTACCTTGGCTTACATTTATTGCATATGTCAGTATATTGTCACACAGGTTACTCAGTATATTGTCACAGGTCATTCTTTTTTTCTTTCTTCTCTGATGGAATAATTTTAATAACATCCTCAAGTTCATTGATTCTTTTTTCTGTCTCTGTCAATCTGTGGTAAACCTTAGATGAATTCCTCTTAGTTGTAATTTTATACTGTAGAATTTTATTGCTTTGCTTTTTATAACTTCTTTCATTATATCAATACTATTTGGTAAGACAGCACTTTTTCTCTTATTTTAATTATTTCTCCATGATTTTCTTTAGCTCTCTGAACATACTGACAGTTGTCTAATAAGTCTAATGTCTGTGCTGTTTCTCATGTTCTGTGGGTTCTGAGAAAGGGGAGATGTTACTAAGGAAATGCATGATTAAGTTGCACAGACAGTTACTGCTGTTTTGAAAGATGTTTAAGGAAAATGCACCACTTTGAGTCACCGTCATTGGTACTTTCCTCATCACTGGGACAGAATACCCAACACCTGCAACTTAAGGAAGGAGAGAATTATTTTGGTTCATGTTTTCTAGAGGTTTCAGTCAGATACTTGGCTGGCTCCAGGGCAGAGGCAGCATGGTGTTAGAAGGGCCTGCCGGAGGAGAACTGCTCCCATTATGGTAGCCAGGAAACAGGGAGAGAAGGGAAGAGCCAGGAAGGTAGACGCACTCTATCAGATCACAGCCCAGTGACCACCTCTTCTACCCAGGCCCTGCCTCCTAACAACACATTTAGGTATAGTGCCCCCACAAGTCAGTCCCTCTCAAAAGCCCCTGTCATGAGTGGATGAAGCTTTGGGGACACCTAGATAGGCACCATAGCTGTTGTGTGCACAGCTAGCACAGGGCATATTTGAGAAGAGTCTAGAATGACTCATGGGCTGTGGCAAGAATTGTGAGGAAAATAAAATTGTCCATTTCTAGTAGTTAAATTATAGATGACATTGTTAGACTGAGATTTATGGTTTAATCACATTTTCACAGCTGTAAAGAATGATAAAAATCACATTATTCAGCCTGTTGATTTAGAGAGTGGAAGCCTTAAGAAGAGATTAAACAACATGCCTGTGTTTATCAGTGATAGATCTAGGAGTACGAGTAAGATTTCTTTCCATGTGTTTTGATGAATAGTGGAAAGTAACTAGAGGGGATTCTGAACTTTCTGGTACTAAGACCAATGCTATAATTTAGAAAGGTGAATTACTTGTATCTGTGAAGTTATCTCTTGTTTCTTATTCCCTTTTTTATTTCTTAGTCTTGGTTGTACTGTAGGAATTTTTCTCAGATGATCTTGTAAAGATATTACTCATTCACACAGTTTTAAACTCATGGGATTTTCCCAATTTTGTTAGCTTAATATATAACAAATATCTAGACTAATACCAAGCATATAGTTCTTGGGCAATAATTTTTTGTTAAATAAAGATGTTCATGCATAAGTGAATGTTATTGTAATTTCAGTTACCATGGCCACTACAGTAGTCCAACCTCATTCCCTCTCTAGAATTGTTACATAGTTTTTGTTTTGTGGGATTTTTTTTGTTTGATTGTTTTGTTTTGTTTGGGCAGGGTCTCTCTTTGTAGTTCAGGCTGGCCCTGAACTCACTGTGTTGCCCAGGCTGGCCTTGAACTCTTTAGCGACTCTCCTGCCTCAACCTCCCAGTTGCTGAGATTATAGCTGTGCACCATCATGCCCAGGTGTTTTGTGTTATTTTTTTGTGTGCTGGGCATTGAACTCAGGGCCTTTCATGTTTTATTGTAGACAGGGTCTTGCTAAGTCACTAAATTTCCCATACTGGGCTCAAAGTTATGATTCCCCATTCCAGCCTCCCAAACTGTTGGGATTACCACCACACCTGGCACCTTAGATTATCTCCCTTACCACCTGGTAGCTGGAGGCTAGGAACTGGATTAGTCTGGTTGCACACACTAGAGTATATGAGCAGAGCCAGAGAACTCAGAAAACACAGCTCACACATGTGAGAAAAGCTGAAATAATTCTATTATTGAAGTTGCATAAAATTAAAGTAACCAAGCATTATCAAGAAATCACTTCTTAAATTTATAGAAGAGGTGACATTTCTTGATTTAGATAAAGTAAATATTGCACTTATTTAGCACTAGAGGAAAGTTGTTTAATGAAAGAAAAATAATAGAAAAAAAATCATGTTAATTCTCAAAAGCCTCTTTAAATTTTGTGGTATAGTATGTTGTATCCATGATAAAAAAATATATTTTCTCAGTTTCATCTCTAGACACTGAAAAAGGATCAAAGACATGTAAAGACCATGATTGTGAATATTTCAAAAGACTATCTAAGGTATGTTATTTATGAAAAAAAATTCAATGAATACCTCAGTGTGTAAGTAAGCATCCTATCTGTTTATAAAATCCATCAAATTCCCACAGTTAGGAATGTGAAGAGTAAAAAAATTTCACCCAAAGATAAATATGAAATGAATATATAGTGTATAAAATACATTCACATTAAATATAAATGATTATATGAAGAAGAATGATTTTACATTATTTGGACTTATTTTCTATTTATATTTATTTTTCAAAGGAAATCACAGCTGTCATTTCCTCCAGTTTTTTCAATTCCCAATAGATGCTTGCTAGTTAACTGTCCATCGTGCCACTTGCTGAAGTCACATGTGAGTTACAATAGATGTTTTATAGACTGCTTAGGATTTTCAAGTAAATATTCATGTCACATTCAAGGAGACAGTGTTACTTCTTTCCCATCTCTGTGCCTTGTTTTCTTTTGGTACCGGGGATCGAACTCGGGTCCTTGTGCTTGTGAAGCAGGCTCCAGAACCACTGAGCTAAATCCTGGCTCTCTGTACCTTTTTTTCTTTACCATATCTGGTTTGAATTGACAGAGTCCATAACATAACACTGAATAGAGGTAGTTAGAGTGAACATCTTTTTCTTGTTATTCTCTCAAGGGCAAAGCATTCAGTCTCAGGATCAAGTATGGTGTAAGCACTAGGTTTTCATAGATACATTTGTCAAAACAAGAACATTCTCTTTTATTTACTGGGCTATATCATGAATGCTGTTAAATTTTGTCTAATACTTTTTCTGATTTGTTGGTGCTTTGTTAAAGAGTCTCCTGTTTCCCCTCCTGTCATAACCTCTCTGTTCTGTGAGATATATATCTTAGAACCTGTAGTCACATTTCAGAGCTGCCACAATAGTAGCTATAAAGACACTCATACATTGATCATTTCAGTATTTTCAATTAAAAACTGTGAAGATAACTTTAGGTTAATATGGAGTTATAAGAATACTTCCAAGAACATCCTTGTACATTTTTCAAATGGGCGGTACACTAACATGACAGAGGATGGCTGACTTTGCTGTCATTTAATGTTCTCCTTTGACTGTTCCCAGTTGGCCTGTTCTCATCGGTCTGCGTCAAGTTGTATACAATTGCATCATTTGTGGGGGATCCTGGATCCACTGCTGTAGTCAAAGCAGAACAATTTCCTACCCACAGGATGCAGGCCCTGCCTTTTTATTCCACACCTCCCTTCTTCGACTCTCTCCCGCCACTCGCCCAATCCCTGGCATTCGCTGTTCTGTCCACTATTTCTAGAGTGGTGTGATTTGTGAAACTTTTTCCGGAGATTCTCTCAAGATGGCACATGTATCAGTGGTTTGTTCCTTTATATCATGATGCATGTACCATAGTGCTTTTAACTGCCCTGGTAGAGACACTGTTTTTGACCACTGAAGTCAAAGCTTGTGTACACTTCAGGCTTTTATGAAGAGATAACATTTGGGACATTAATTTTGGGTTATATTGTAGTTGATTTTACCTTCCTCCCAGCATTGAGAGGCAGTTTTTCTGCATCTTTGCTGCTGTTTGGGTTTGTTAGTATTACTCATGGTACCTTTCTAATAGTCATGTCATAATAGCCCATTGTGGTTTTATTTGCATTATTATGGTGGTCATTGCTATTAGCAATCTTGTCACACGTGCTTTTTTGCCACCTGTGTATCTGGTGAGTTTTTGTTAAAAATCTCATTTTCTAGTTTAATTTTTTGAGCTTCTGCTGGGTGTGGTGGCACATGCCTATAATCCAAACACTCGGGAGGCAGAGGCAGGAGGATCCTTGTGAGTTCGAGACCAGCCTGGGCTACATAGTGAGTTCCAGACCAGTCTCAACTACATAGTGAGACCCTATCTCAAAAACCAAAAAAAAAAAAATTTTTTTTAAGCTTCTGAGTATAGAGTTCATATGTTCTCAATAACCATCCTCTTTCCAATTTGTTATTTTTATGTATTTATTGTTAGACTGTAGCTCTCCTTTCCTCGTCCTCACATAGATTTTCACAGAAGGGAGCTTTTTAATTTTTATGAATCTGGTATACAAGTTCCTTCCCTTTTTTATTTTTCCTTTTGGTACAAAGCTTAAGAACTGTTTGTATACTCTTGCACCCTGAAGATTTGGACCCTTTTTTTAAGTTTTACATTTTCGATCAAAGTCAGTCACAAGTTCTGAAATTTTTGTGTGAGTGTGATGTTTAGCTGAAGGTGTTTCTATTGGTGTTGTTTTCCTGTGAATATCTCACTCTCCCACATCTATGTGCACTCACTTCCTCCATTGCATAGCATTGATGTCTTTGTTAAAACATAGCTGAGCACATTCATGTGGGTTTATTTTTGACAATAGCACAGACTGGGTGTTTGACAAACAGCACAGTCTGAGGTGCTGAAGTAACAGAAATCTGTTGTGTTATGATCCCGAGTACTGGAAGTCTGAGATCCAGATGGTGGTGGAGTTGGTTTCTTCTGTCTTCTTTACTGGAGGATGGCCTTGCCCTGAGTGTGTGTCCGTGTCTTCATCTTTAATGAGGTCACCAGGCAGATTGGGGTTTACACCGATGGTCTCATTTTCCCTTCAAATCTCCCCGAGGGAGGGTCCTAGCCTTAAGGGCCTGTGTCTACTGTATGTCTCCAAATACAGCCACTTTCTGAGTCTCTGGGGTTAGGACATCAGCATAGGACTTTGGAGAGAGAGAGCATAATCCAGGGTGTGAGAGTTAGGGTCATCAGAAAATAGTGAACAGCTTATGGGATGTTTGTATCCTTCCTTTATTCCATTCAAAGTACTATGATGCTGACTGGCACTGAAATATTCCCAGCCCTGCTGACCAGTGACCACAGTGTTTTGCTCTCAGCCTGAGTCAGGGCTAAGGTAGGGGGACTTGTCCTCAAGGTCACCGGAAGCAGAGTTACAGTTTCCCTGACACCATTTGATACAGTAAGTAGTAGATTCTTACTTCACAAGAGTATTAACCAAGTTGGTGTAGTTATTTAAAAAAAAAAAAAACCTTTAAACAAGTGCTTCTCTTGACTTGTGTTAAATTTTCTCATTTCTCAGTATATTCCATCAACACAGGTACAAACTTGTCTTCTTATAATTTCCTTATGAAAAATGAACATTATTTCCTTGGGAAGGGGAAACACCACAGAGGGTGTTTATTTCTTCTTTACTTTCTGAAAGCTTGAATTTAATTAATAAAATCTGAAATTAGACTATTGAAGATAAAGTGAGTTTTTGTGCTATTTCCATTTTGGGGACTACCTCTTTGGTATGGTTTCATAGTGGCTATGTTATAAGCTGTGAAATTTAAATATGTTATTGATGCTTACTGGTATTAATATTTTGCTACTTTAAATAAAATGTAAAACTTTTACTTCCACTTACTTTAATCTGCTGTAATTGTGGGATGTTTTCGGGACTGATTAGCATTTGAGCTGTTCGGCGTAATCCAGTAAGGAAATGCCCAGGTCCATGTGCGGAGTGGGTGGGCATCATCTGGACCTTTGAGAGCATGGCTAGAAAACAGGGCAGGTGAGGGCTTCTTCTGTGTGAGCTGAGGTGTCCGTCACGGCCTGCCTTTGGACCCGGTACTGCTGGTTCTGGGCCTTGGGACTGGGATGAGGAGGAAGGAATTTCACTGTCTCCCCTCCAGGTTCCCCCTCCCATTGGGCCTTATACCACTGGACTTCCTGGTCTTACAGCAGATTGGGGGGCTTGTGGCTCCATGATTATGTGAGCCTGTTCCTGTAAGGAATCTCAGCAAGCACTAGGCCATTGTATATGAAGGAGTCAAGCATCCACAGAGCTCCTTACACAGGAATGCCTAATGCAGTATAAGTGTCGTGAAAGCCACTGTTCCATTGCATTGTTAGGGAATAATGGCAAGATAGAAGTCTGCACCTGTCCAGTGCAAATACGTTTTCAATCTGCAGTTGGCTGAATCGACAGGCATAGAACTTGTGGATACAGGGCTGTGGTTGTGTGTGTGTGTGTGTGTGTGTGTGTGTGTGTGATCCTATTCTCTGGAGAACTCTGAGTAATACTGTTTTTGGTGACAAGAGTGATTCTGGTGGAACAGAACCCTAAGGAGGAGTTTCAGGAGTTGGCTCTGGGTTTTCCAGGGTTGGCTTTCCAATCTGATTAGAGTTAAGGGTGCAACTGACTGGCTGCAGTCAGAAAGACATGGGCCATGGTGAGAACCATTCAGAGAAATACGGGAGTTCTGTCCTGCTCCTAATCAACCACTTAAAGATCTAGTTGATTCTGTGCATCATGCTTTGGAGCAGTTTGGGGGAAATGTGGAATATAATAATGTTGCTTGGTTTCTGCTCATGTCTCTGGACGCAGTGGTGAAAGGAGAGATGATCTCAGCATTCAAACACTCCATCCAGCAGCACAGAAACGACTCAGAATTTCCTAGGTGTGCCTTCAGGGAGAGCCTTATCTCCTATAGCTGCGGCCGACCTTGCTGAAAAGCAGATCCAGAGCCTCCTCCTGTGATTGGCTGAATCACAGAGCAGCTTGGTCTCCCTGCCTCCCAGATGGGTCCCCGAGCCCTTGTCTTCTGATGAGTCTCCTCACCAGTGTATCCCAACATTGTGCCACAAAGCGGCCTCTCCAGCCATGGTTCTTGTGGATGCTACTCACAGCGATGCCCGCCTTTCCACCTCTGCCTGAGGAAATGACAATGGCATCTCCTGAAGCCCTTGCTGTGCGAAATAATGCTGATTTTTCTTGGATCAAATCCGAACACCCCACTTGGCTTCTAGACTGAGTGAGGTCCCAGCAGACTCATTAAGGGTGAGGTAGGAAGTGTGACCCTTGAGGTGTGCTGCTCTCCAAAAGAACTACTTGAGTCTTTTGATTTATGTCAGAAAAATAACCCAGGGAACATTTGTGGTAATGGATTATTAAAGGTGTGAGGGATGTAAGGTCTCTAATATGTAGCAATTTAGGTCCCAGGAAGGGCCCTGATATCTTT